GGAGCTTGCCTGTTAGCTGTGAGAGAGAGAGAGAGAGAGAGAGAGAGAGTGCCAGGCTTGCCTTTTATTCTCTACCTTGTTGTCCTATTTACTTCATGACTGAGCAGTGGAAATGGGCTAATTCAAAGTACTGTTCATCAGGCCCTCCATTGTAATTCCATTCCTGAAATGGTGTTGGTGATTCCTCATTCTCTAATAGGCTCCTTTGCTTCCCTCTGCACCTTCTTTTTCCCCCCAAGTATTTTCAATAAACTTTTAACAGCTGAACAGTTTCCGTATTCTGGACAATGCAACCTCTTGGCTGCATTGGAGCTTGACGGTGATTTAGTGAGAGTAGCACCTCAACAATGAAGGGGAAGATACCAGTAGTATTGCCAAGCCCAAGCATTCAAACACCATGAGTCAGCCCTGAAAAATCATAAAGTTGAAAAAATAAATAAATAGTGAGCGCTTTTTATTTGCTTTCTGGTTTCTGAGCCTGTAGGGTTCCTTTGCTTCATGTTTTCAGTAGCAGGAGCTGTTGTCTGGCTAGCTAGGACAGCATAGGGAGCAAAGTCTAGGCAAAGCAACAAGATAGGGCAGACCCAGAGTTTTCTACAAAGTTCTAAAGACTCTTGACTCCTCTGCCATTTCCTTTCTATCTCCATATACACATCTTCTGTAAGCCTTTGCTCCCCTTTAACTTAGGGAGTGTCTACTCTTTGAGCTGGTGAAGTAATTCCAAGCTCGAGGAGACATAGTCACGCTAGTTCTGATTGAGCTAGTGCACTGAAGTAGGGTAGCCGTGGCAACACAAGCAGTAGGGGCTGGCTGCCCCCAGTATGTAACAGGTGTCTTGCACTATTTTCACTACATGTGAATTTGTTCAGCTGTGTACACTATTAGTCATTTGTTTAGAGAAGAAGCCATATAGGCTGATGCATAGTCCATACTTATCACACGCTTCTAGAGATTAGAGAAGAAAAATAAAGAGTAGGTCACTTTGGTCTATTCCTCTACACGATTGCTTTGGAGGATTGTTCCCTTCGTGATTGCTTTGTCCAGTCTAGATTTCAACATTTACAGCGATTCATAGATTTTAAGGTCAGGAGGGATCATCTAGTCTGATCATCTGTTTAACCCAGGCCAAGTGATTCCTGCATCAAGCTCAGAACTTCTGATTGAGCTAGAGCAACCTGCGGCCCAATCAGCACAGAGCTGCGGCCCATGTGACATTCTCAGGCCCATACAAGGTAGTATTGGATGCAGCCCAGATGTGCGGCCCACAATGGTAAATAGCTTGAGAACCTCTGAGCTAGAGCAGTGTTTCTCAGCCTTTTCGGGCTGGTGACCCCTAACAGTAAGGATTATAGTACTGCACACACAGAAAATTTTACTTAGTAATGATAACTTAATTGCCAGCAAACTGTATTGGTGATGGAACAGATTAATATTTGGATCAGTTGCTCAGATGCTATCATCATGGGAGGGGGATCCTATAAAGCAAACTAGATAGCTTTTATGGTAAAATGAAGCAACATATTTTGAACTAGTATCTTTCATATAAGGATCCCAATTTTGCATACAATTAGTCTTCCTAGCACCTATGGGGTTTAGATCTGTATTATTGTATCTATTTTACAGATGGGTAAAGTGAAGCATAGAGAATTTAGTGATATGTCCAAAGTCACTCAGCAAATAAATGGCAGAATTGGGAAGAAAATCCAGGAGTGCTGACTCCCAGTCTCATTCTTACCTCTAGTACAGTGGTTCCCAAACTGAGGTTCACAAAATGTTACAGGGGGTTCTTGGGGAAAAATTTCCCTAATGGTGGACAGAGCTGTCTCGAGGGACCCCAGGCAGCACGGGGCCAGCAGCACGGAGCCCCTGGACTTCCAAGAGCTAAGCAGATCAAAGCAAGCATTTCTATCACACTGACGAGATTTAAACTTCAAGACTCCTTATAAGAAATGGAAAGGGAGGTGGATATTTTTTGCTGTTTTTAAAATTAAATAGGCAGCTAGTATTGTTTTTAAAATTATTATGAAGAACAAGTTTAGGCTTTGTTGGAACGTGCATTGTTTGCCTGGACTGCTCAAGACCTGAATGCTTGTGTAGGAGGAACTCTTTGAGTTGGCTTCTTGAATACCGTCATGCTGTTTCACATCTGATACTCTTTGATGAAACGTAGGAGCCTTGTCTTATAACAGGCTTATTCAGAGTGATACAAACTACAAAAGTGAGATCTTGGAAGAGTGTTGCCGTTTTCATAATGTAATAAAAATACCGTAATGATAAATAATAATTAATAATAGTGTGTAATAAGCATGTCATAAAAACAAATTTTATATTTCCAAGATCACTGCTTTTATAATTTATACTCTGGTAAAGGAGAAAACCCCTGGAAATATTCATTTTTAGGAGGGGGTTCGCGAGACTTGACATTTTAGTGAAAGGGGTCCACAGGTTGTTTAAGTTTGGGAACCACTGCTCTAACGCTAGCTCTTTCATCACAAGTATGTTATTATGACTGTATTTGATCGATTTCCAAATTACAGGTATCTATAATTTGTATAATCTGATTTGCAGTACATATCTTCAGAGCACCAAGATACCTACTGTAACAGATCATAAATCTTAGTATTAAATAGTCAAGCTGCAAATCTGGCCTCTTTTTTTATAAAGCTGGCTAAACTCCTTTAGGACATTAAAAACAAATTGAAGCATGGCAGCGACAATTAATGTTTTTTACACAGTATAAAAAAAGAAAAGAGGAAGGGGACCGTCAATCAAAATTTAATCGAGAGAATTAGACCAAAAGCATTATGCTAAATAATGTTCCTAAACTGGCTTTTGTGTAGGATGACATGCCAGAAAACATCCACTACCCAAAGCAGTGACTGAAGTTAAATACTTAGGTTTTTTTACATAAACTGTCACAACAAGGCCTTTTGGTTCAATCAGAAGAATGAATGAATTAATTATAGTCTGACCATGTAAGTGTACATTTCTATTTCCTAAAATACACATTTCTAAAACAAATTTCTGTGGCAGAGTTAGATTTGATGGTAGACATTTTGGATACCTTTGCCTCCTTTACATTAAAGATTCTTACAAATGAATCACAAATTGGAAAAGACAATTTGGTGGGGGGCTTCCTTTCTCCCTTCCTTTTGTGTGGCAGTGTAATGACTAACCACAATTTACCTCTTTACTACTACAAATAGTTATCCTCCCTTTATATTTCCCCCTTTTTAAATACAGTCTGTTCACGCTTTAAACATAATGAGCCAAATTCATCCCTAGCATAACTACTGAGTTTGTGGAGTTACCCCAGGAATTAATTTGGTCCAATTTATTCAGGCTAAACAAACTATATTCCCTTAACTTGTCCCTGTAAGTGATGGTCTCATGTCTGTTTGAAGTGTGATATTTCTCCTGGACATTCACAGAAATAAATAATTCCTCCTGGAAAACAAATCTCTTAAATAAAATAAGCCTTTCTTTTGGAACTGCATAGACATTCTTCTTATGTTTGATCTGCCTATCTGGCGTAACTAAGCAATACTGTATTTTTCAGCTGCTCCGAGATGGATCAATACCACCAGTGGCTAAGTAGGTCCGTGGTGTTAAATATTCAAAACATCTCATGCATGCAGAACTCGATTTAATACCAAGGTCTGTGTAGGTTTGGAAAATATACCTTTTATATCACTGATATAATTGCATTCCTTTTAGACTTTAACTTTAGAATTGGTTTGTAAGGTTTTCACAAAATGGACTGTTTTCACTTTGAGTTATGAATTTGAGAGGTGGAAATGGCAGATAGGAAGATGAATAGCACAGTACTGTGGGCTTTTTAGAAACATACCAAGCTTTGTTTACAATGATTTATATACTGAATCTTAAACCAATTTCTGAGTACATATGTGCTAATAAATACATATTTTTATCTGTTCTTTTAGCAACGGTGTAATAAAAAAGTGTAAATTTAAATTAAAGTCAATGAATCATGATTGTTTTCCTGTATGTTAATCAACATGTCCTGCTGTATTTGAGTTTTTGACATTATCCTATGTTATCGTGGTCATACTAAATAATAATGATCAGTCATTAGAAGTGGCCAAACTATTCATTATAGTACTATTCTATATAAATGTAGGCCATTTTTATTTAGGAAATTGGTCACGAAAGAATCTTGATTTTCTTCTAGTGTATGCATTGATCTTAAGTATTTGCTGAATAATTTCAATGACTATTTTGCAGCCTATACAGTGTTTACAAGCTGCTCACTTTAACTATATGCTCTTTGTTGTTTGTATTTTGTGGTCAGTTGCTTAAGTCGTATGGTATTGTTTCCACTCTTTGATTGGATGGCTGATACATTTTAAATAGTAGAAAAGCAAATAATGAATATCAAACCTCTGGTATGAATTTTTGGATGAGTAAACACTTGTGCTAAAGCGTATGGAACTTTCAGGGTTTGGAAACATTTTAACTAATAACCAGCAGTTGGTCCAATATTTGCCCTTATTCAGCAACATTTTAAAATCTCATTGAAGTTAAGCATGCAATTAAGCTGAATTGGGGCCCTTATGAATAATATAACCTCATGAATCAGATCACTTTTTTAAAATACTGTCCAACCAGCTCTTTCACTTTTGTACAGTGGTTTTCATCTTCAAAGCATTCTAAAAACAGCAATGAATCGTTAAAAAAACCCTACTAATTATTAACGAAGAAGAGGGCCACATATGTAAAGTCATATGGTTTGCTCCAGAACATGGTCTAGAGAGTTGGTGACTTGCCCAAGTGCACAGTCAGAGGCATGATTAGAATGCGGAAGCTCCTGATTCCCTGTTCTGTGGCCAGACTATGCATTTCTATCATGCATTTTTCCTATTGAATGTTGTTTTGGGGGCCTGATGCGGCTGTAAGAAGGGGGCTAAATGACGTACAGAGAGAACTCCAAATGGAGGATTATTTTGATTTGTCTTTTTGTTTCTTCTTTTTGGTTCCAGTGAAATGAAGCAGAAACTCGATGAAGAGGGTAACAAGTGCAGCATCCTTTCTAAGCAGCAGAAGTTTAATGAGCACTGTTGCATTCGCTGTTGCTCTCCTTTTACGTTTCTCATCAATAGCAAGCGGCAGTGCCAAGACTGCAAATACAACATCTGCAAGAACTGCAGCTCCTATCAGAAGAAGGACAAGGCATGGCTCTGCAATGTCTGCCAGCAAGCTAGGTAGGTGATTATTGTACCACTGCCAGGTATAGAATAGCTGGACTGAAATCTTGACTTGACTTTTCCTCCTATTCCCTCTCTTTGTCAGCTGTTAACAGTGATGAGGTGAAAGACATAAGACACAGAATACTCTAGAGTGTCTAGAAGTTGTTATTAAGGATTGCTTTGGGCCAGGAATGTTTTATTCTAAATCTGCTTTGCTGGATTGATAAACCAACAAGTACTAATTGGATTTAGTCTGCATAAGGGGTGTGATCCTTAAGGTTACTAACATGTAAGCACAGATGGTTAAAAGGTGGCCAGCCATTTTGCAGCAATCACTTGAAAATAAGGCCGGGAGGGTGAAGAAGGGTCTCTCACAGTAGATTATCTTGCAGTGAATTTGTCTGGAATGCTTTTCTAAATGACAGACTTTCCACAGAACACTAAATGCTTCAAAAATACATTCCAAACAGTACCGGAATTTTCACAACTGGGACTAGTTCAAAAAATGCTGCCTAATGGAACCTTGGATAGAATTGCTTCCCCACCCCTTGGGCCTGAGATAACCAACGCTTTTAAGCCAGCATGAAAAAAAAAACCCCAAACCAGTAAAAAGAGCCAGCCCACATAAAACAGCTCTTCGGGGCCAATCTTCCTGGGAGACATTTGGCCTTGCATGGCTCTGTTTCAATTATGGTAGTTTAACTAAAACAAACTTGGCCCAGGGTGGCCACGTAATCTCAGTCCTCCTCTCTCCTGGCGGGGAAATGGATAAAGGAGACCACCCTGATCCCTTTTCCAGGCTCCAATTCACTACTGTCTAAGAGGAAGTACTGCTGTTTCTTATCAGGAGCTCTCCTTTAGCCCACTTAGATATTAATGGCATCCCAGGAACCACGGCTGTCAGCTCCACCCTTTGCCTGGTTGCTAGGTTAGGCTCTGGTGCCCTGGTGCAGCATGAAATACCTTTCCCTGCCTCCCTACAGCACAAAGAAGGGGAGCAGCAGGGGCATAAGGAGAAGAGGAAGCAGCAGCCCTCCCCCCCCCCACACTGAAGTCCGTATTTATATCAAAGCAACCCCATTGGGCTTGATTCTGAACTTATTTACAACAGTGTAGATCAGGAGTAATTCCAGTGAGTTCAGTGGGGTTGCACTAGGGTAAGTGAGATCAAATCAGGCGCATTGTATTCCACATAATATAATATCTTATAATATTGCTTGGTGGCCGTGTCATCTCTTTAACAGCTAGCAAATGCAATTGCCTACCTTCCTCCCCCGCTCCACCCCCCATGTTGGTGATCAGTCCTGGAAGAAGGTGTTTGTTTTTGTTTTGATCATCTACTGTGGTTTAAGACTATGTTCCTGCAGGTTAAAAATATACAGAGGAAACTAATAAAAGATCATCAGTGTGGCTAGTTGGATAGAATATTTGGTTATTATCTAATATAAAGCAAGAATATAGAATAGCTTTGACAATGGAAAACTCTTCTCTTCAGTCTGTCTACCTGTATTTTGTCCCTTTGTACTCAGACTATGTTAGGTAAAGAGGAGGATTTTGTGGTTAGTGTAGATAGTTATGGAGTAGATGCAATAAAACACTAGCAAATAGAAAAATAATTGCCTTTTGATAAGAGTTATTTCAGCTAGAGAGAATGGGAATGGAATGCTGCTGCTGTGTTTTAGTTTCAAAAGCTTAAACCTTATGAAATCTGTCTAATTTCGAACTTGAACTTAGGAATTAAATTATCCAGGTTTCATCAGAATCTGTTCTTTGCTCCCTTGACTTTTTGTTAAATGTTAAAACCAATTTTTTGACAGTTTTGGATAGGAATGTGGGGGTTTGTGTTGATACTTCCATATCTATTGGTCATATCACTATTCCCAACTTTCAGTGTGGACAAAATCAAGTAATGTCATGAATCCACTTTGTGAAACTTCAGTGATGAAACATCCAAAATTCACAAAACGATGGGCAATATTTTATAGACCAGAACAAAGTTCTCATTTCTGCTGTCCAGATGGGTTCAGACAAATAAAAAACTCTAAACTCAATAGGTATAAAATTATAGTAACTGAAACTGCTAAAAAGGTGTAACAAAAATCAAAGTGAAACTCAGCTTGACAGCCATATATAGCAAACAGCAATCAACTGAAAGATTTTGACATAAATTGCATGAAGCATACAGCAAAGTGATGCAAAAGGCACCGAAAATACTGCTCTGTATTTCAAAGTATCCTGCAAAATTTTAAAAACTCTATGTATAAAAATATAGATCTATAGAGATGTGTTTTATATAGACATAGGTACAGATGTATTAAATGTTGCTGACCAGATACCTATAATACAGCATTTATTAGTAGCATTCTGTGAAGTGTTTTTGTTTGTTTTGTTTTTTACTGAGAATTGATATTTTCATCTACTGCCTCAAGGGGACAGAAATCCCCAACATCAGCAGCCAGCTCATGGACCTCAATATCATCTGATGCTGGCTCTGAGGTTGGTAGCACTGGTGTTGCAAGATCAATAAAATAGCCAGTAGACTCCTCCCCTTTTATGTACAGATCCAGTCATCATTGAAAAAGACTTTTTTGCACTTTCAGCCTCTTTTATACTTTTTACCTTTAAAGGTATTGGGGATGAAAGTCCTTGCTGATGCAAGATGCTTCAAAATTCTGGGATTGTGACTTCAGGCATAGCCCTCAGTTGGGGTGGTGCCTAAATGGCAATAAACCAGGAGGCACTATGAATCAGAGATGCAGCTCCGAGCCACAGTTCTTTCTCTACTCCCTCTTTGCTTCCTGGGACAGTAATTTCCTGCCAGCCTACAATAATAGATTACTGGCTCAACTACTTTGGTCAAGGCTATGCTTGTTTTTCACCCCACCTTGCCAATCTGTTTTGAGGAGGGAGAAAATAGTCAAGTAACCATACTTGCTTCTATGCGTCTGCATTGTTGCGTAGGGATGTGAAAGGAGTTCTTACTCCCCCTTATTCCTGTGTGAGTGTTTTTAATCCAAGTCACAGCCTAGCTGTATAATGAAATATCTGTTAGTTCTTCTGAAGCTCTGCAATAATTTGAAGGGATTCATTACACACACCTGCTGATTATTTTATTGTATGGTTCATTTATTTGTTGTACCAGGAATAAAACGGAGGCCCGGCTTCCCTGAATCACAAGAGTAGTACCACTGAAGTTGACAGGGCTACTTGTGTGGATATGGGTGGCGGGGTTGGTCTGTGCTAAAATTGAGTCTTTAACGTTTCATGGATTTTTGGGGGGGGGGGGGTATTATTATTTCTAATGTTGTTGTTGTTGACATGTTATGAAAACATATTTGAGACATATAAATTAATAGATTTATTGGGGCTCTGTTAAGGATAACAAATTGTTTTCTCCAAATTAGATAGGATCGTTTTAGGGTTTTTCCCCAGGTGTGTAGAAATCTCAACTGACACATTTTCAGAAGCAGTGAGCATAGAAAACAGAATGAGCTACTTTCCCTTAAGATTTTTTTTATCATAAGAATACATTTTTTTCAGTTTTTGAAGGTCACTTCATTATTCAAGAAAGGTGCCAGTTTGACATTAGTGGAGATTGAAGTAATCTACCATGAGAACAGGCAATGATGCCCACTGGCCCTGCCATTGCACCTCTCTTCTGCCCTGTAACATCTCTAGAGATGAGAAGTTTCCATGCTCATTCAGCCCTTGGCTCCTCTCTTGAGGCTGCCAGTGGAGGTGCAGTTGGTGCCAGTTGTTTTTGTGAAGTGGACACCATTCTGCTAGGATCTAGTCCAGGGTGGGCAAACATTTTGGCCCGGGGGCCACATCTGGGTGAGGAAATTGCATTCAGGGCCATGAATGTAGGGATGGGGCAGGGGGTTGGGGTGTGGGAATGGCTGCGATATGCAGGAAGGGGCTCAGGGCAGTGGTTGGGGTGCAGGAGGTGTGCAGAGTGTGGCAGGGGGCTCAGGGCAGGGGGTTGTGGTGCGGGGTGCAGGAGGGGCTCAGGGTGTGGGCTCTGGCCCGGTGCTGCTTAACTGGAGCAGCTCTGTGGTGGCAGCGGCACGCACAGGGGCCAGGGCAGGCTCTCTGCCTGCCCTGGCCCCGCGCCGCTCCTGGAAGCGGCCGGCACCACGTCCCTGCAGCCTCTGAGGAAGGAGGAGGCAGAGGGCTCTGCACACTGCCCTCGCCTGCGGGTACCTCCTCCGAAGCTCCCCTTGGCCGTGGTTCCCCGTTCCCAGCCAATGGGAGCTGCGGGAGGCGGTGCCTGCAGGCGAGGGCAGTGCGTGGAGCCCTCTGCCCCCTCCTCCCTGAGGGGCCGCAGGGACGTGGTGCCGGCTGCTTCCAGGAGCAGAAGGGATTCCGCGGCGCCATGGGGGTGGCAATCCAACGGGCCGGATCCAAAGCCCTGATAGGCTGGATCCGGTCCATGGGCCGTAGTTTGCCCACCCCTGATCTAGTCTGAGACCATAAACTTGTTTCCAATAGGCTACTGAGTAGCCTTAAGATAGTAATGATTTTCGGACTGCTAAACTGGGCTGTTTATGGTAACCTAGAGATGAAAGGATGTACGTCGCGTACCAAACTCACAGGCCATTGAATGCCTAAATATGTCCTTTTTAAAAACTGTGTATTTGCTTATAACTGCTCACTGTCAATGCAGAATGGGGAGTTAGCAAATACCTATGATCGTCTGGTTAAATACTTCGTTTCAGAAGCATAGTACGGTGCAAAGGATATGTGGTTCATTTTGACAGAGTTCTCTCAGTTCACATCCTTTGTATGATGCTGTTCAGTCAGTACAGCGGGGCTTGGAGAGGAGAGGAACATAAGGAAAATCTGAGCATCTTTTATAGAAGGACTTTTCAGAAAGACACTAGGCTCATTTAAAAATAGAATTTGTGTCTGCCACCTTTTTTTCCCTTGACTGTGAGACTGAAGATTAATCAGAGTTACCATGTAACTTACTATACAATAAATCTGAAATCTTGATTCTAAACTCAGTGATGCTT